ACAGGATTCGGCCTGACCTAAGGAACGAAACATAAGGAACGAAGCCCTGTTTTATCATCCCTAAGCCTCGGTTCAGGGAAAGAAGACTCTCACATCCCATTCGGGGATTCGGTGATTCGCTCGCCCTACGGCTGCTCCGCTCCCTCGCTCACTGCCCGGGCCCGAGGCGGGATAGCAAATTTCGGCCGTGGCTCCGGAAGGAGCTCCCGAGGCGGGCCGCCGCCGCGAGGCTGCGCGCCTTCACGTGCCGCGGGCGTGGCTCGTGGTGCGCCCAGAGTGCTTGTCCACGCGACACACTCAACGTCCAACTGGCGCTCCCTGTCGCCAACCCGCCGCCCCTGCCGCCAGTCGGTGCTGGGTTACCCACGCTTCCGTCGCCACACGGCGTCCTTGCGAAACCCGCATGCCTGGGGTCCCCGCGCAACGCGCGACCCCGTCCTGCGCGTGGCTGGCCAAGCGAACCAGCCAGCAGAAGGTGCCCAACAGGGAGCAGGCCTCTGCCCAACAGGGTACGCCCAGAGTGTCTGCCCACGTGGCGCACTCAACGCCTGCGCGACGCGCACACCCAAGGTCCCTGTCCAACGGACAAATCCAGTGTCCCTGCGAGACGCGCATCCTCGGGAGGTCCCTGCGCGACGCGCACACCCACAGGGCCGGTCTTCGACGTGGTCCTCTGGTCACTGGGCTACGCCCAAACCAGCAACAGCACAGGGCTGGGTTACACCTGCCCCTCTAGTCGCGTGGTCCCTGAGAGGACGAAACTATCGCGAATTGTCAGATATTGTCTGTGTATCCAATGACACGGGCTCAACTGGGCTTCGCCCAAACCAGCTTCGTCTCGAGCGACAGAGCCGGTCTCCGACTGGCACCTCTGGTCACTGGGCCTCGCCCAGACCAGCAGGGCTGGGTTACACTTGGCCATTCTAGTCGTGCGGTCCCTGGAATGAAGAAAAAATCGCGAAATTTCCGGTATGGTTTGGATCTCCAATGACACGGGTTCAACAGGGGCTGCGCCCAAACCAGCGTCGTCTCGGGTGACGGGGCCGATCTTCGCTTGGCACCTCTGGTCACGGGGCATCGCCCAAACCAGCGTCGTCGCGGACGACACGGCCAGTCTTCGATCGGGCCCTCTGGTCACTGGGTTTCGACCAAATCAACTACAGCACAGGGCTGGGTTACACTTGGGCCCTCTGGCCTTGGGCTTCTCTCAAACCGGCGTCGTCGTGGACGACAGAGGTAACTTGGGACTGGGCCCAGGATCGCTGGGAGTAAACCTCGGAGGGCCGGTCCCACCTGGGCTTTTGGTCATTGGGAAGCCAAGGCCAAAGTCGTCGTAGACGGCCAGGGTGGTCTTCGACCGTGGCCCAATGCATTGGGCCGTGCCAAGTCAATCAGATGGGGGGCATTCGAAAAATAAACGCCTTGCGACCCAGGTGGATTCGCCGGTGGCTTCGGAGCTAGGGGGGTCCCAGCTCGGATCCCATCGAGCGCAGAGGTGTCTCTGGCGCGGACGTCAGAGCCCAGGCAGCGTTGCGGCGGCAAGGCAACCACACAGGGGGATCCAAGAATTGGACCACCCTTTCATGCGTGCCGGCGCACGTTGCCCACGTGGGCGCTCAAGTGCGCGAGTGTTTGGCGAGTCGCTCTAGCGACGCCTATGAATGTGGGCATCCCATTTAGGGAATGCCCTCGCGGGAGCGGGCCCCGAAGGGGGCCTCCCGATGACCAACCTCAAAAACCCCCCCCTCCCCCCCTTCCTCCCCCCCCCTGTCCTCTGAGGGTGCGGAGGTTGCAGGGGCGTTGGACGTCGTGGTTTTTTCGCGGCCGACATGGAGATTGATCGCCTGGCCGATGAGGAGGTTTTTCTGCGCGGCCGATATGGAATTGCTCTCCTTTGCCAATAAGGAGGCGATTTCTGCCGAGAAGGAGGTTCGCCACTTGTCGGCGGCTGTTTTGATAAACCCCTCCCTCAAGGACCTTTCGCCCCTCCGGGGGAGCCCGGCCACGAAGATAGTGGACAGGCGCAGCGGGGGGTCCAGTCGAGCACTGCTGGCGGGAGACGGATGAGCGCAGAGTGGCAAACGTCCGGCGCCGGCGACGGGTCAAGGCGCGGCGCGCTCCAGGCTGCTCCGATAATCTGCTCAAGGTTGACGGTTGAGTGCCTGGCCCCTGGGGTTGAAAGCCTCGCTCTGCTCCTGTTCAAGGTTGAAAGCCTGGCCCCTGGGGGGCCGTTCAAGGTTGAAGGCCAATCTTCCGTTCAAGGTTGAAGGCCAGTCCTCAAGGTTGAAGGCCAATCTCCCGTTCAAGGTCGAAGGCGCGCTGGTGCTTCGCTTCCGTCCGCCTCCATCTGCGCCAGGGAGGAGAACCATTTGCATGCCGCCGTGGCGTCTTGAGAGATTGCCCCTGCCCCTCCTTTCCCCCCCCGTACTCGGCTGGGCTCACGCTGCCTCAAGTTCGGGGTCCAGAAGGACATTTTGGTCTGCCCGTCGCCATCCTGCACCAGCGCCTCGCGCCATGGCCTTCCCAGTCAAGGGCGCCCGCGCCTTGGTGTCCGCGGCGAAGCAGGGGGCGCTCGCCGGCGCCGGCGTCGACAAGGCGACGGCGCGGGTGGAGTTCGCGGCGCCCGCCCACGATTCGCCGGCGGAGACGCAGCCACTAATCTTCTTCGCCGGCCGGGCGCGAGCGCTGGCTGACGCGATCGGCCCAGTGCATCCCAGCGACCTGGCTGACAAGCAGACGCGGGATTTCGCGATCAGTGGAACGCAGGCGAACACGACCCCGCACGCAGACGACGCGAATGAGCCATGGAAGAGCATCGCGCTCAAGCCAGCCCGCGTCAACGCTGCCCAAGGCGCAGACGAAGGCGTAGCGGGAGGCTTCCAGCAACCAGCCGGAGCCGGCCAGCGCCGCGGACCAGACCGCACAGGCAATCGCCGCATGGGCCAAGGTCCAGAATGCGAAAGCTGAGAAGGAAGCCAAGCCCGGGACCTTGAGCTTCGATGTGAAGACTAGGATCCGCGAGGTCGGACTCCAGCGCGCGCAGGGCGATTCGTTACCAACCGAGGAAGCCCTTCTTCGGATGGAGGCATTGCCCTCGGCCAAGACCGCCAGGGACAAGGGCCGGAAAGGTGTCGGGTCTGAGGGCGAGGACCTGCTCATGGACTCCAGCCCCGGGTTCTCAAGGACGCCGAAGTTGGACATTCTTGTCGGCGACGGGTCCACCGAAGACAATGTCAAGAAGGCCCGGGAGGCGAAACGGACGGACCATAGAGGAGCGCATCAGCTTCGTGGGCTTTGCCAACTTCCTCGGCCACTTGCACGACTGGGGCGCGAAGATGATCTTGGCCAGGGCCATCGCCCCAGCGCAGCGCATGGCCTACGAGATGCAAGTGGCGCGGTTGCGCGAGGAGCGCGGTGGCACCCGAGTGGTGCACTACTACGATCTGCCCCTCCGTCAAAGGGCGGCCCGCACCCTGGAGCAGGGAGAAGACGATCAGCTCGACATCCTGCCGCGCAAGCTGGACCGTGACGCCCTGGAAGACGCAGAGCACAAGATCTCCCAGCGCGCCGGGGAGGTCGCCAGGGCAAGCGGCAACAAACAAACGACGGGCCATGGAGGCAGCTCCGCCGGCCCCAAAGGGAGCGAAGGCGCGCCCCCCAAAGGGGGCGGCAAGGGCGAACAGTCCAAGGGCGGCAAATCCGGCCCGAAGGGGTCCATGGCGCCCACGTCGCCGAAGCGCCGCAAGACGGGGCACTGGAATCAAGGCGGCCATTCTATGCCGCAGTAGATTCTCTCTTGAGTAGTACTCTCTCACTTGGACTGGGCGCTGCGCCTTCCGCGGTGCACCGGGGCATTGCGCTGACCCTAGCGCAGTGTACGAGTTTAGGAAGCGCCAGCTCCAGCATTGGCAGCACCGCCAAAAAGTGACAGCCCCAGCGTGGCGCGATCAGTATGACCGTCTGCCAGAGCATCTTCGCGCCATTCTGGGCCCGGAGAAAAATTGGCGCCGCTGGCCGAGATGCTGGAGGCATCTGGCTCGGAGGACACGGGTCTTCCCACGGCGTTGGCGCAGGGTTTTCCTCTAGTGGGGCTAATTCCGGCCAGCGGCGCCACGCGTAGGTGCAGCGCGACTGCCCATGAGTCTCCGGGTGCAATTCTGGCAGCGGCCCCCAGCGCAGGCGCTGCCACCCTGCACAGGACACGTGCTCCGGGCACGCACGCAGGCGGAAGTGGCGGCTGTTCAGGCCGAGCGGCGCAGCCTGCCCGCGGATCTCTCCGACGTCGGGGGCGGCGCTTCCGACGGTCAGTGGCACCGCAAAGTGCGCGCCATTGACGACCTGACATGGTCGGAAGTCAACGGCGCGACGGCGCTTTCGGAGCGCGTCGCCCATGAGACGCTGGACGATTTGGCGGCCGGCGCTCAGCGCCCCATTGCTGGCGGAGCCAACGCAGAGAACATCCGGTTCCGCAAGGGCGATGTCCGCGAGACTCACAAGACCCAGCCTTTGCAAGGCGATCACCTTCCGTTCGCAGCCGCTGTGACGTCTGAGTCGGTCGAGAAGCGGCAATTCCTGCAGCTGCGCTGCTGCCCGTTTGGGGCTGAGGCAAGCGCCCATGCCTGGAAGCGCGTGGGGCAGCGTTTCAATCGATCCTTTTAGGCCTGTTCAGCATCGTCTATCCACGTTTCGTGGGCGATTTGTTCGGCGCCGATGCTGAGTGTGCGCGCAGCGCCGTGGGCGCCGCCTCGTTGGCTAGATTCGTCATTCAGGACTTGCTGGGGTGGCGTCTCGATTCCGAGA